GCCCCCCCCCCCACCTCGCTTTCATAGCTGATCTGTTTCCTGCTGTAATAATCTCGGCAGTCTTTCTGCTTTAGCCACAGCAATTTCTGCTGTCTTTGCCACATGTCCTCTTTGCCACTAAGTATTTCCTTTCATTGTTTGCTTTTCCTTATTGAGAGACTAAAATTAGCACTCAAATAAGAAAAATGTATCTGAATCCCAATAGACACATGGGCAAAAGACTTGAGCCAGCCATATATTTAAAAGTAATTGGGGGCCGGGGAGATAGCTCAGGCGAATAAGCGTTTGCCTCGCAAGCACAAGGGCCTGAGCTTAATCCCCAGTTCTGCCAAAAAAAAAAAAAAGAAAAATGCCTAAAAGGATGACAAAAAAGTGATCAATGTCAAATGATAGAAATGAATAAAAGTTTGAAAACTATCACGTTCACTTATCAAAGACTTTTTAAAAAGATGACATTATGTCACTGAGAACCAGATGTTCTACATATCAAGCCTGAAGAAACACTGCATTAAAGATATGCATAAAAAATCTACAAATAAAGATATATCCATTACAACAGGAACATGAAGTAACATAAAAGTCCCCAAATAAAAGGATGGCTAAATAAATTAACATATCCATAAGAGGAATTCTGTAGTCACTAAAATATGAAAATACAGAATCAGTAACAGAGGAACACCAGTTTTGTAAAAAGCAAGTACGGCATCCTGCCAAGTGCTTCCAATCTTTTGTCAGGGAAAAGGGGACTAGGCATTTGGCCCAGGGACTTAGCCCTGAGCTGTATCTACAGTTCTTTACTATTTAAGTATTTTCCTTTTTCCTTTGAGACAGGTCTTGCTAAGTTGTTCAACTGCCCAGGATGGGGAATTGAACTTGGATCTTCCTGCCTCAGCCTGCCAGCTTGCTGGGATTATAGGTAAGGGCCACTACGCAGGGCTCAATTCCTTAAATACTGGTGCATTTAGGTATACACTGAACAGGTGATAAAGTGCTTTGCATTTTCAATAGCACTTCCTTAAGCACCGGGATAACTGTAAGTATACACTGAACACCATTGTTTAGTACTTCATACAGATTGAATCATACTTATGCTTGGAGTCATCGCAGGAGGTGTTTTATCCAGTTGTATATCTGAGGAAACTGAGGCCCAGTCCAAGAAAGTAACACACCAATATCACTACCACATGGAAAAGCCAGGACACAAGCTGAGGTCAGCTTGACCAGAATTTGTGCTCATCGGAATTGTGTGTGCCCAAAGGTAATTTTCATTTTCTGTCTCATACATTTTAATGTGTTCTCTGGTGTCTAAAATAAATGAATATTGTTTTGTAATTTGGAACTAAATCAACAGAATAAATGGTATATTGAAACATACATATTCACAATGTAACAATTCTGAAAATTTTTGTCTCCAAAGATGCCAGACCATGCCCAGGATACTTAGGATGAAGACCATGAGCACTATTAAAAGTTATAACACTGATCTTAGAAGACTTTTGTAAGCCATGTCAATTCTGCAACAAACATTTAATACCTGCCTTTCGCCAGATATTGCACAACATGCTGGCACAGTAGCAGAAGTTAGAGTCAAAGGAAGTTTTTGTAAGTTAAGAAAGTATGTTTGTCTTTTGTGGGGTAAGCGGAGAGAAGGAAAGAGAGAGGAGGTGGCAGTATTCGCCAATCAAATACCGAAGTCTAGTTGTGTATTTATGGCAAAGGATTGTTTTATTTTTTAAAATTTTCATAAAAACTTACATGTGTGGGCTGGAGAGATGGCTCAGTGGTCTAAAGCACCTACTTAGAACAAGCTTAGCAAAGCATCAGGGACCGCGGTTCGATCCCCCAGCACCACATGCCAGCCAGCCGCGCCCCCTGGTGGGCTGAGCTGGCCACACACACACACACCTCTCTCTCTCTCTCTCTCTCTCTCTCTCTCTCTCTCAAATAAATAAATAAATAAAAAATAAATAAAAAATAAAAATAAAAAAAAACTTACATGTGTGAGGATCCAAGACTTTCCACTAGGAATGTTATATAATTTTCAACTGCTACAATGTATTTATTTATTGATACAGGGTCTCCCTACACAGTTCAGACAAGGCATAATTCTCCTGTCTTGGCCTCCCCAGCACTGGGATTAGAGGTGTGGACCATCCCACCCAGTTTTGGGACCAGCACAGCACATGCAGGTTTCTGGCGCCAGCAAAGCATGAGGTACCAGGGACTGAACTTGGGTTGTTGCGCTTGCCAGGCAGGCACTTGTGCCACCGAGCTATCTCCCCAGCCTATATAGTTTATATTTATAGTCTATAGTAATCAGATAAATAAAATGCTTTCAACAGCATATGGATTTACTCTTACCACTGAGTATACAGTGGTCTTTGCATTTGCTTTTCTGTACAGTAGAAGGTGCTCACTATAATTCTTCAGGGCTGGACTACCAGGGCTCTTAGCAGATATGCAGCTCAATGAGTGCCCTTCCCTCTGACCTCCACACATTTTCTGTGCCTACCATGCACTTTTCCAGAAAAAGTCCATATTCTCTATAGTAGCAGAGTAACACGCAAATTTCTATCACTTTAGTCTGTAAATCAGAATTTTTTGTTTTTGAGACAAGGTCTCGCCATGGACCCCAGGCTGCCGCATGCATATAATCACGCTTCAGCCTCCCAAGGGCTAAGATTGACGGTGTGCCATCACACCCACTTCTGTCACAAGTTTTAACAAATAAGATGTAGATCATTCACTTCTACTTGGCTGTTACAACGAGATCAAATGGATAAAAACATATATTTCATTTTCTTCAGAAGTTTTGGCCTTAGTTGTAGGGAAGGCTAAATATTTATTAAGCTAAAAGTATAGTATGTCCATAGAAATACAGAATTTGACCTTCAACATTATGAGTGCAAATGAACTAATTCCCCATAATTTAATCCTTCAAGCCTATATGAAAAGAAAAAGCTGCTCACCTTAGAATAGAAAAAGAACAGTAAAGTAAATTCCTTGTTAATTCCCTTCAGGAGGAACTATAAACTTCATTCAGTACATAGTTGAAGACCCAGAGAAAAAGGGTAGAGGTTGACAAAATGGAGACCTTACGTTCATTTTTGTAAATAAAGTAACTTGCTTAATCTTTCAGATTACAATGTCAAGAGTGAGGACCAGTACCCATGGCTGTGAAATCAGATGTTACTGTCCCGGAGATTTAGCTCATTTAATAAATTATGCTGCCTGATCTTTTTGCGGAAACAAACACTTGTTTTCCAAAAGCCCCCAAACAGTAAACTGTTCTTCCTTATTGCCCTAAGTACAGTCTTTTTGATTATAAAAAAATGTATAAATAAATCTACACTCCTAAGCGTACTAATTATTGTTTTTGTTCATGCCAACAAAATAGCTTAACAACAGTAACATAACTGGAGGTTAAACTTTTTCATTTGAGCTGATGAGTACAAATTGCCTTCTGATTGGTTATTAGTCTTTAAACAGACATTTCAATAGATAACTGCTATGATTACTACAAAGACTTCAAGAACAATTATGCTGTACTTAAAAGTATTTTACAGTTTGCAAAATTAATACATACACTCTTAGCAACTTTGAATAGGGGGGCATTCTTTTCTATTAAAGAAAAAAGAAAATATGTTTCACTCAGACAATTAAATGATCTTCAGAACGGTTTGTAGCCCAGAAAACCAGCATGTTCAAACACCGAAACTGCAGATGAAATTTGGTTTCACAAGTGAATTTTGTAGGTGGGAGGCCAACTAAGATTTCTCTTCCTTGTTTGTGACAGCCATCCCATGATGGAAAGAATCTCCCTGTAAAACAATTTTTAAGAAAAGCAGGGAAGAACAACTATGAGGCTGGCGAAGTTCTCCAGGGAGGACTCCAGAAGCCGAAAGGAGGGGAGGAAGGGTGGTCAGGCCAGAGGCGCAAGCCAGGGTCCGCCAGGTGCGCGGCGTCCCGGGCTCCGGCAGGGGGCGGGCGCAGGGCGGCTCCCGGGCGTCCAGGCGGGCGGCGGGCTGGCATCTTTTTTGGGCAGCAACCTCTGCTCAGTCTCCCGAGCCCAGGCGCTCCGGAGGGTGGCGCGGGCTTCCCCGGACGCCGCCCGCGGCGGGGAGCATCTCCGAGCCTGCTCTGGCCCTCCGCCCTCCTCTCGTCCTCCGACATTTTTCCCGGAGGCGGGAGGTGAGGGGAAGCGGGGGAAACGGCGGAGCCGAGCGCCGGCCCCCGGGCTCCGCGGCAGCCCCTGGAGAGGGCGAGGTGGAGGAGGTCTAGCGAGGAGGCGGCGACCGAGCCGCGAGTCCGCGGATCCGAACGCGGCTCGTCCCCGGCGGCGAGGAGCCGCGCGTCCTCCGGCTCTGGTGGGCGTTCCTCGCCCTCCCCTCGCCCCTCGCGGCGGTGCCAGCTCCGGGTGCCCAGCGCCAGAAGTCCCTTAGCGGGCGCAGGGCATGCAGGAACAAAAGCGACCCCCACCCCTGCCGCACACACCCAACTCCGCTACCCCAGCGGACGCGAGGTGCTGCTCATTTTTCGCAGCGCCTTCTCCGCACACCTTCCCCACCTGAATAGCGCAGGGCTCGGGTACCGAGCGGAGGGACGAAAGAACCCGGGAGGCGACCTGTCCCCGAGACCCAGCAGGGCACGGCCGGTCCTCCACCACCCAGACGCAGAAGGACCCGCGCCCTCGCGCCCCGCTGCCCGCCCCGCCGGCCGTGCCCCGGCTTTCCCGAAGGTGCCCGCTCCCCGCCGAGCCCGACCGGGCGCGGGGTCCCCGGGCGGGCAGGACGGGCGCCCAGCCCAGGGCAGGCGGCGACGTGGGGCGCAACTTCCCCGCGCTGCCCGAAGACCCCAGCCTCCCCGCAGGGACTGGGGCCGCACTCTCCGCACCTCCAGGCTTCGCCTCCCCCCTTGGGAGAAAATCCATCCCTCGGAGCAAAGCAGACATTTTGGTGTCATTTACTTAGCACCGCTCTGCCGAGGAGGCAGCGTCTTACCCAGTCGCCTGGAGGTGTGCGCGGCGCACCGAGGGTCCGGAGCTGCGAGGCTGGGCTGCTCAAGTCCTCTAGCGGAGCCGGTTCGCTGCCATCCGCCCAACTTCAGCACACCGCGGGCGAGGAGAGGGGGAGAGGCGAGGCCGGGGGAGGGGGTGGGGGAGGAGGCCGGGTGGGCGGGGAGGGAGCGGAGTCGGCCGGCAGCGCGCATGCGCCTCGCGGGCTGGCGCAGCCCCTCGCCCGGCGTGGCCGGAGGTGCGGCTTCTTCCCCCAGCGCGCAGCCCGGAGAGACCAGGCCCCGCCCCCTCCGCGCCCCCGCTGGCCCCCACTGCGCACCGGCGCGGAGACAGTGTCCACAGCGCAGCCCGGGGGTCCGGGGGCCTTCCGGGAGGAGAAGAGCTGCTGCGCGGTGCTGGGCTCCTTCCTCCCCGTCCCCAGCCCACGTCCTGTGCTCCCGGCCTCAGAAGCGCTGCATCGCTGCGGCCGCGGGCTCCCGGCGGAAGCAGTTCTGCGTGGGGGTTCAAGAAAGTGTGAAGTTAAGCAAGTTTTGCTCACCGAAGGGCTCGGCGGGGGTGAACAGTCCTGCGCGGACTCCCTCACCGAGAGCGAGGACTGTGCCCCAAGGATTGTTCCAGATGCTCTCTGGCCTGGAGCGTTTGCACTGTCTGTGGACCCTGAGCTCTGGGGCTGGAGTTTTGAGTGGAAAGTGGATGGAGGCAGAGTTTGAGTTCAGAGCATCCGCAGGGGTAGTCAGGTAGCTCAAGTCTGGTAATAGCTCTATGCCCAGCGAGCCCAGCTTGGTCCGAAGGAGCTTGGGCTACCTACTGTTTGCGCGACCCCCGGATCGCATCCTGGATGATTAAATTGAAGTGTTTTGAGGGGCAAGTAGGGAAGCGGATGTTTTTCTCTGTAGGAAGAGGAGTGAGTTCCTGCAGGAATGATTACTCTTTCCTTATAGCTAATTGAAACTGATTACTTGTAAATATATGCAATTCTCCATGGTTTGAGTGCAAACGCTCCTATTATTTCAGCCTACAGGAAACCCACCACCACCACCACCACCACACTTCCATTAATCTCGGGGGTTGCTCCAGTATCTCCTTTCTTTAGCTGTACCTTTCATAGCTTTAAGTACCAATGTTCTGAAAAGTGTATTACTAGTGCTGGTCTGCAAACTCTTTTTCTAAACTGGTCTGTAATAGATGAGTTCAGATACTGAGAATAAGATTTAGAAACCTTTTTAGCAATTTGCCATTGCCAGGGCATGCAAGCATATTAGTAAGTTCGTAAATTGTACTTTGCACATTACATTTTTAAAGTAATTCAGTTTTTAGTGAGATTTACAAAAGTATTTGTCTTGCTCCTTTCAGGCCTCTTTTTAAAATGGCGTGGACTGGATGATTTATAAACAGCAGAAATGTGTTTCTCACAGTACTGGAGCCTGGGAAGTCTAAGGTCGGGATGTAGGCAGGTTAGGTTTCAAAGAGCCCAGTTCTTGGCTCATACCCTCCTGTCTTTCCACTGTGTCCTCAAGTGGTGAAAGGAAGCGGGGGAGATCTCTGATGGGATTTTATAAAGGCACGAATCACATTCGTGAGGGCTCCATGCACTTGACAGAATCACCTTCCAAAGATACTTGTATATTACTTTGGGGGGTTAGGATTTGTGACTGACATAAGCATTCAGTTCATTGTACTTTTGCCCCATGATAAATAAAAAGTACTCCAAAATACTTCGAGCAGCCGTGAATCTTATGTAACACCTCCGTTTATTATCTTACTCTTTAGCCGCTCAGTTATTTTCTTTTCTCAACTACCTTTGCCTGAAGAACCATAGCAGCCAATATTTATTGAACAATTACTTCGTGCTTGGCGCTGATCTAAATTCTTTTTCTATATTTTTAAATTTCTCCCTACACAACAACCCTACAAGGTAGGTACTATTATTATCATGTTTAACAGGCATCTGAGAAGCAGAACTCCGGATATCCACCCCCTCCAAACCTGTTCCTCTTCAAATTGTTCCACCCAGTTACTCAATCTAAAAATGTAGAAGTCAACCGTGCTTTGTCTCTTTTCATTCATCCTTGCATGCAATTAATTAGCAAGTCATGTTTTCCCCACCTCCAAAATACACCCCCGATTTGTTCCTTTTGCTCACTCTCAGCATGGTTATGACCTTGATCAGGGCAACTCGAATCTCTCAGCTACACAGCTCGGAAGGCTTCTACTTTTTCTCCTTGTTTCTTCCCCACCAACCCGGAAACACACAATCTAAGCAACAGCTGAATGATCTAAACACTTAACCAGATCATGTCTTGTGCTGAAAATTCAATAGGTTTTCATTGCACTTTAAATACAACCTATAATCCTTACTGTCGTCTAGAACGTTCCACATAATACTGTTGCAGACTCATTTGCTTATACCATGCTCCCACAGACCATAGCTAAATGTATTCTTGTCACATAAGGTGGATTCTTTTACTTTTAAAATCCTTTTATCTTCTTTTAAAAAATGTATTTGGCACAGGGTCTCACTACACAGCTGGGACTTCTAGTGGTCCCCCTGTTTTCAGCCTCTCCCACACTGGAATTACAGGCATGTGCCACCACGCCTCGACACTGTAGCCAGCTCAGCATGCCCAGGGGCATGGCCAGTGCAGCATGTGGTACCAGGGACTGAACCCTGATCCCTGTGCTTGCTTAAGCAGGTGTTAATAACCCTTTCTTTTACCTGCTTGAATGAATCTCATTTATGATATTTGCCAGTTTTTCTTCCTGAAATCCTCTTCAAAATATTACATAGCAAATTCTTTGATGTTATGCAAGTGTAGATCTTTATATCTCCTCCTCAGAATGACCTGACTTGACCACACCATCTAATCAGTTTTAGCATTTCCATTCTGTTGCATCTGTTTACATTCTTTAAAATAATTTTGACCATCTGAATGAGCATGTTTGCTACTGATTTCTTTCCAATACCTTGCTAGAATAAAGTATCTTAAGAGACTTGCCTTCATTTTTTACTGTTTTGTTTGTAGCAGCTGGAACAAAATTTGGCACATAGTACACACTTAGTGGATGAATGAATGAGAGGCCACTTACAAAAAGTGTTACTTTTTGATGGTGATTTTTCTTAAGTCCTGATTGCTGCCCATGAGAGAATCTGTTGTTTCCCAGAAGAACAAATAGATCGCCTTGTTTCCTGTGCCCAACGGATTGAAGATAGCTCCATGCAGTGGCACACATTTAGACCCAAGACCAGGGTGAGGTTTCAACAACCAATATTAAAACAAAGGTACTGGATAACAATGGGATTCTTAGTTCTCTGAGCTTCCCTAAATTGCAATAACAGTTGTTTTGTATAACTTTGGACAAATGATTATTAAGCTATTCAGCCATTCCTTTACTTGCTAAAGTCAAACATAACCTCTTGGAATTTTTTTTTTCATGATTGAGATTTTTTGTGTAATCCCTGATGCAGTCACAAGAATATTAAATGAAAGTATTCTGGGAAGTGAACCTGATAGGTTTTCTTGCCTACTATCCAAGTGATAACTAGTAGAATGGAACCAGTCCCAATTGTAATGGCCTTTATCTTGTGATAATTTTTGGTCTCTGTGTATACTTTGATCTTAGGAACTATCTGCAACAAGCTTAACATAAAGATGACTAAGAAGATAGTTCAACTCAAACATTATTTATGTCTACTATATACCTGTCATTATGACTTCTAACTTTTTTGCAAAAAAAAAAGCAAATGCTGTATAAAATTGTATGTGATTCAGAAATAAATTACAGCTCATTTTGGCAATAGGAATGTTTCGCTCCTCTTTATGCAGAATTCAGAGCCCATTCATTGGACTTTTCATCATTAAACAGCTGTGTGGTAATCAGGAAAAACAGCAGTTGATCATGGGTATTTCCATGACATAATGATTTTGTGTTTTTCAAGAAGAGAAAATCTTAATAAAGCAGCAGTTTTGTATAATACCTTCCCAGTGTGACACATAGGAAATTTATAGACAAGATGTTTATAGACAGATGATATTGAAAACAAACAATATAAAAATATTTACAGCACATTTGCTTATAATTAGGGGTATTTGTCATCATTAGGATAGTGTTTACCTTAGAGGGTTTGATATACTTTAAAGGTTATTTCTGAAAAATACTATGCAGCACTTAATTTTATTCCCTTTTCCCACATACTCCTTTATTTAAGAGCAACTGTTTTACCCTTGAAAAGCAGAGGGACATAGAAGAAATTGTTTGGTTGAATCCAGAAAATTATTTTTTTTGAGATATCTTTTTTTTTTCCACAGCTGATTAATAGGACAGTTTTGATAATCAATACATTGTACATTGTTATCTTCTTAGTGGTTACCCATAGTACAAGATAGAAGGATTTCTT